ATATAAAAATATGTTTATATATAAAATATATTTTAAAAAATCTGTGTTAGCAGCTTTTGCATGTAGTAGAAGTGGAAAACAGGAATATGCTTCAAGGTTAATGTTCCTTATTCAGTACTATCTGCTGTAAGTATTCATTTAGGTATGCTGACTAACACAAATGCTAGAAGTCTATTCAAAGTGTAGTGAATCACAAGCATGTACTTACTAAAGCAAGCCTTTGCCTTAGAGGGATAGGCTGATGCTTACAGCTCTCCTACAATTCATACTATTTAAATAGGTCTCAAAAAAAACCCTTACATTTTAAGACAGTCATATTACATAGTTCAAAGACTTAAGAAAAAACTACACAAGCTGTAGTACATTTAGATGCATTTAAGATGCTGTTGGCTGAGTTTTGCTTCCCCTACAAGAGCTAATAGGATGGCGAGATCCTTTGTGCCAGTTTTCCGGTATAAAGTCCATTGTTATAGCATAAACTTGCCTTGTAAGCAGCTTAGGCTAAGGTGCTAGCATTTACATGGACACAACCTATGTTATTTCTCTTTATTCCTGTGAAGATTGAAATAACCAGCAGAAAACAGGGTAGACAGGTTATTAATGTCTTAAACTCTAGCATACTTAGCTGCACTTATCTAAATCGGGATATTTATGTCCAGACCAAATGAACTACTGGAAAACTGTTCAGACTTGCCAACTGAAAGGATACATTTAAGTCTCAGGAACCTTTTGTGCTGGAAACTCTGAAAAGCAGAGATGTTTTCTGTTCTCTTTAGAATTTTTCATTCTTACTCAGAAGGCTCCACAGTCAGACCAGGCACTTCATACTTAGATGTCAGCTTGTTCAGTTCAATCTAGTTTATAATAATAAACTGCAGTTTTTCACTTCTGAGAAGCAAAAAGAGATGTCTTACACTTATGAATACTGTTAGAGAAATAGTCTTTAACATAGGACATATGACAAATCAAGCAATATCAAGGAACAATTATTTTCATTGTGGTGGCTTTGGATAGACTAACAGGTTTTTTAGGTGTTGTTATGAGTCTTCTGACTGTATTCTTTTGGACCACCTGACTGTGGTCCTTTGCAGTCAGGTTCTGCAGTCTTAAGAAATGCTATCTTAAAGTATTTAGTTATAACTATCATAAGTTCTGTATCAGTCTAATGTGTCCACACACTAGTATTTAACCCAGTTACTTCAAGCTGGGTTTAGTACACTATCTGTAACCTTCAGCTTCCTCGGTAAGTTTACCTCTTAGGTACCTTATCAGAACTGATGATGACACAAGCCACGTAGTGCGAGAAGACTCTTACCTCACAATAGTGTAGACAATAAGATTGTTGTGAAATGTCCTCATAAGTCACAGACATAATTACAGATTAAATGGGTGAATTCTGGTACTATACCTGGTTCCTAGCTTCTCTGTAGCAATCTTAGATTAATATTGTAACTCTTGCATGAATTTTGAAGTGTTGCTGAAAGATCCTGTGATCATATTCAGGGAGGGCCCCAGCTTAATCATTGTGTCACATGAATGTCCACAGTAGCTGTTAAAACACTTTCCTCTTTTAGGGTAGGAATTAGATCTTTTTTCCTTTCCCTGAACTGCAAGTCTTTCTGCATTGCTTACCACCCCCCAAATTACTATCTAGGCACCTTCCTCTCACTGCTTTGCCTGACAGTGTAAGAACCAATGCAAATTCCCTGGAAGACTCTACGTTTCAAGACTGACATTAATTAAACCACTTTTCACAAGACTCCTCAAAATAGTTGCCTTAAACTTGCTTTTCAGTAATACAGCAAATCCAGAAGATTCTTACCCACTTCTGTAAGAGATGGATGAGGTATATCTATGACTAGCTGTATAATATATGAAGTAATCTGCAAGTTACTTTCAGTCATATCCTGTGAGTATCTAAAGCACATTTAGAACAACTATATTTCTGTTGCTTTTAAACTGTGTTTTGTACTTTCAGTTTTAAATTGCCAATCTACATTGAAGGTGCTGTCCCCAGAAGATGGAAAAGCAGACATAGTAAAAGCTGCTCAGAACTTTTGTCAGTTGGTAGCACAGCAGCAAAGAACATACACAGACCTGGATGTGAATGTGTTAGACAACTTATTAAGTAGTAAGTATGACATGGTCTGTGGGGAGGAGGGGAGAGAGTACTCGATTCATAATGGATTTGGTTTCTAGTATATTTATTGCTTGGAACGTATGCATCTTGATGCTTAGTCTATCAGTGTAAGTTACAATTACTGCTTTCAGGCTTCTGCTAAAAATTTCTTACTGGTTTACTCCCTTTTGAGTTTTTTCTTTAAGCAGAAAAAGGAAACGTTAAGCTGAATTGGAGACTCTCAGTTTTTCAGAGTTTACAGCCTCTGTGGGATGTTCTGCGATGAGCTTTCTGAAAAAGATACCACTGAAACTAGATGATTATAACTTAGGTTAACATCTTGCAAGTTAGTATGCTGCAAACCTGGGTATGGGCAGAGTCTTTTCCAGATGTAGTTAGAGTAATTAAAGCTGGTACTGCTGCCTAACTACCACCCTGAGTGCAAATGATAGAGCACTTGCTGATCTTTTGCTGCTGTATAACCATCCCAGCTTAGTTGTCTTCGTTACTAATTCATGCAGATTACTGACCCTGCACTGAGGTGCATGGCTACATGCAGTAGCTATGAAAAGGGCAGGGCTGCCCTAATCTCACATCTGGGAGAAGTAGTTTAGAGCAAACCTCCACTTCCCCAGTGGGGCTATGGAGCTGTAGTACTTGCTCAGCTTTCCTAGGTGATCCATGCGTGTTAATTGCAGCTGTAATTAATTTGGCAGGGTTCAGGTTTCAGATTGCACACTTGAACTTGGATGTCTGCAGGGACATTATTGTAGTGTAACTCCCATTAATTGGACTTCAGAGAGTGATTTTTTTTTTTCAAATGGGTGGTCAGCTGAATTGCTGTGGCAGTTTAGACACTTTAATCTTAATTTCAAACTGAATTCTATTCCTGTTGTCAGCATGGTGCATAATAGCTTCTCACTGTAACAGAATTATTAAATGTGTTTAATTAGGCACCTGAAGAGGTAACTTAGACATCTATCCTGTTATACCCCAAAGGCAACTTCAGGAAATGAATAATTGCTTGTCTAAAACAGTCACTCACTTTGTGAAGAACTGGTGACTATTGATACCCTTGTATGTATTTTGGCCAGTGATGTTTAACTGGAGCTTCTCAAACACTTGTTCATGATCTTCTATCCATGCATTTCAGTGTCTGGATGTGCTGAAAGTATTAGGTCCAGTCTGCATGGCCTTAAAAATGGAGCAGATTTATTGTTCAAGTAATGCATGCTAGCTGAGAACAGAAAAAGAAATCTCCTAGACTTTTAATCTGTCAAAACTGTAAACTTTGAAAACAGTCTGCTTAATCTATGTAGCTAATAACTAAGGATAGTATCTAGAACTAGTCCTGCTTATTAATTTGCCTGGTTTTAACGTTTAGGACAGTTGGAGGTGAAGAACTACTCTTTCACGACTTATTTAGCAGCAGCTTATGAAACCATACATTTTAGTTGTAGGCAAATTTAGTTTCTGTGCATCCTTAATGGCAAGGTATTAAACATAAACACCTGTGAGTTACTGATCTAAATTGAGAGTGAGTTCTGAAAAGCAGTACTTGAGTAGCTATGTCTTTAGGGTTTGTGTTCATCGTGACTTCTGTAAGTTTCTGGGTTTTCATATTTTGATTTAAATACCCGATAATGTAGTTTTTTAACTTTCTGTTCATATTTAGGATGCAGTTATTGAAGTCTAGCCCTAAAATGGTATGGTTCTAGCTTGTCATGTGGCTTTTCTGGTTCTTAATCCAGTCATGCTCTAATCCTTACAGCTTGAGTTTTCTTTAGCGTAACTATTTCTTCTGAGCAATGCCTCAGCTAACCAGCTTGTTTTCAGAAAAGTAGGTGCCACTGTATTGTAACATTGTCCCTACTTGTCGCCTGGCTTCCTAGTAAAGAACATGACTATCAATTAAGGCTGTTCAAGTTGCCCTGTAAAATCTACGTGGAGAAGAGAAAGGGTAGTGCTGTGAGCTCTACAAATGTCTTCATGTTCCCCTCACAGAACTCCTAACCTAGAAGGGGTGTTGCCAGATTCCTGTCCCTTCAGTGTTGAAGCCTTTTGGCCTTTTTTTTTTTTGAGTCTGCTCCCAAATCCTTTTATGTTGTGTGTGCTATACTTGGAGTGCTGTAACTCTAGCAGCTCTGAGGGAGCTTCCACATGTAAAGCATCTGTAGTGTTGATATGTTTAGGTAGAGAAACGGATGAAGAGTGGAAAGCACAGTACTGTGTTGTGAATAGGCTGTTCTGACAGTAATACTACAGTGTACATTTTCATTTTCCTTCAGATAGGAACCAGAAGGAAATATTAGCATTAACTGGGCTCTCTGAAGGTCTTTTCCTGTTTGAAAAGCCATTGCAGTGTTGAAGATCCTGCTGCTGAACTGGCCAGCTGAGGAGTACTCAGCTACTGAATCAGCTGATGAGTAAAGCTGTCCACTTCCTCCAGAGTCCCCACTAAGTATTCACTGCTTCCCTGCAAAGCTCTTTCACACTAACATGCTAGCTTCTGAACACATAAGCGACTTTTGCTTTATAATTTTTTTCTTAACTTGGTGATAAGATTTGGGCTGTGGCACACGGCACTCATATCTAAATAATTCATCCTTCTTTAGAAATGCACATGCTTGGGAAAATAGCTGCTTTACCTCTGGTAAAAGGATTATTATTGTGATGATTCAGTGGGGAGGGAGGATGTGAACTTTCTGAAATCTCCAGCTTCGGTTTCAAAAGCTGGGTGGAGTGAAATCTGATAGGACCTTAGTTTCCTGTTCTATTATTCCCAAAGTTAAGCTCATCTACAACTAAACTTAAACTTGTAAAAGGCTCTTGACTGGTTTGGGTTTTTTAAACAAGTGAGAAAAGAACTGAGAAATAACATCTGAAGTTCAGAGTAAATAAGCAGTATTAAACTTTTTTATCTGATAAAGGTAGGCATTATGCAATGTAAGCACTCTTGCAGTTGACTTGTAGACTTAGTGGATAATGGAACGGGGTAACAAGAAATAGCATGCAATAATCATGACTAATTGCCGCATTATAACAAAGTAGGGTTATGACTGCTGGAATGCTTTTCTGATGAGCTAGGTAGGTGCATGAAGAACAGCTTACCTTCTTCGGTCCTATCGGGGTACTGTACTGGCTTTCACATGTTGCCCTAATCAGCTTGCTAGAATTAGCAGGGAAAGCTGGACTAAGACTGTTCATTCTAAGCTTATTGCCTAGCTGTCAATTTTAGCCTGGAGTAGCTCAGGCATGGCAGAAGTGTATGGAAGGGAGACAGTGTCGTGTGGCCACTGATTGTTTTCAACATCAGGAGATCGGTAGGATGCTCTCATTGGTCAGCAAGACAGCAAGCTACTAAAGATTTAATTAGCTTCTCTCTTCTTGGGGAGACTTCCTTGTGCATCAAACTGTAGTAGCTGGTCTCAGCTTTTCAGGGGATGAAGTTTAGTAGCTTTTTTCAAACAGCTGTTTGCCCAGTCTCTGGAACAGGGCATACAGAGACAATGAGGTCATCTGAGTTGGGATTAGATTAGTGGAATGAATGATGGGGGTTTTAAGGTATGGGTAGTGAGCACTTAGTGAAGTCCTTCAGTGTTCTCTAGCCCTGCCCTGGGATGGGCCCTGCTGTCCACTTAGTAACAGGAAAACAAAAATAAATATTGCCCTGTTCTTCCTCCCTCATTAACCAGAAAGATGTCACCTGCAACAGTTTGTCTGAAACAACATAGTAAAAGTTGTTTTTAAAATTGTCTGTCTAGCTCCATACTGAGAAAGAAACAGTTCATCTGGTAGGGTATTTTTTTTTTTTACAACTTGTTTTCTTGATGGTCTGTGATACCAATTTGTTCTTCAGTGGAACCTCCTTAAGTGGTTTTTTTTTTTTGAGTTAGTAGTCCTTTTACTCTACATGACTGCAACTCCACGTAGTTGAGTTAGGACTGTAGCAGGTATGGGTCAGGGTACAGCATGTTCTACGCTACTAAAATCAAGTTTGCCAAGACAAAACTAGTACAAGGCAGTTTAAACAGCAGTGTTAAGGTTTGCTGTTATTCAAAACAATGTAACTGTTCCTATTGCTCCCTTACCAAGTCTTTGAAAACTACCTGACAAGAAAATAACAGTCCAACTGGGCCTGCAGTGGCTGCCTAAGCTTTTGCTCGTTTGGTCCTGTTCAGGTGGTGCAAGACCAGCCTGTCCTCTTGGGCTCCTAATTGTTAACTTGTCCTCAGGAGCTTCACTTTATTAAAAAAAAAGTGCATTCAATGAAAAAGCAGATGCCTTAGGGTTTAGAATTAAAACAAATCTTCTGGTGAATTTGACAAAACCTAATTTAACTTGTTCTTACAGGTACAAATGGATTTCCTGATCCTGATTTAGTCTTGAAGTTTGGTCCTGTGGACAGCACATTAGGATTCCTTCCGTGGCACATCAGACTGACAGAGATCATGTGAGTTGCCTATAAATACTGTAAAACAGGTTGGAATAATATCTCACTCAACAAGTCTTTATGTGACTGACTTCATGGAAATAGCCATGAGGAGACCTGTCTAAACCGAGGTGTCTGGAAATTGATTTGAGGGTATTTAAAAATTGTTAAAGGAAACGTGTCAAACATTCATTGTTGTTCCTTCAGCCACAACGAGGCAACAGCAGGCTTTACTCTTCAGGCTAGCCTCAGTGGTCCAATCCCACTTCTGTTGATGTTCCTTATGTGGATTTTGAGTGGCTTACAGGTTTCTATCAGGGAAACTAAGGATATAAGGGAAATAGGATAATGGCCGATGATCATGCCTCTGGATTACTTTCCAATTTTGGCAATATCTGAACTGACTATAGTTGCTGTATTTCTTAAATCTGAGAGCATTTATAGGGCACTTAAACGTCTGGGCAGACCTGTGCTTCTCCGACTTTCGCGCTGATTTGAAGTGCCGTATGTACTCTAATGGGTAGGCTTTGATTTAGAGGGTGGCAAGGTATTAACAGCTAGTTTAGATACTAGAATCAAGTGACAGTAAAGGTGTTGAGAACAACTTCATAAGGTTACTCAGACAATAGCTTGCTTTAAGTAGTGATATTCCTGGCTGGCCATACGAACCGTGTGGTGTTTATAAAAGCTTATTTTAACTTTTCTAACTTGCTTTCTCAGTTCTTTGCCTTCCCACCTGAACGTCAGCTATGAAGACTTTTTCTCTGCCCTCCATCACTATGCAGCCTGTGAGCAACGCTGGGGAAAGTGACTTCTGGCTGAGCATGTGGAGTCAGGCTTTCTGTGGGAAGGAATTCATGTCTGTTTACAAGCACCTGTGACCCATAAGTCTGGTTCATAGTCCTTTCTTAATTTATCAACAAATTCAATAAAGTGTCTTACCTTTCTAGAGAGTCTGTGTGAATGCGTGAGAATCTATGGGGAGGGAGAAATTCACAGATTTCCTTTATGAAAAAGACAGTTATTGCAAGCAAAGCTGTTCAGAGCTGAACTACCCTCGCTTTCATGTCCAAGTGACCAAAAGAAGATGGAAGAATTAAGTCTTGTGAAATCTACAGGACAACGTAAATGAGAGTTCATGCCCTGAAAGTCCTTAAATCCAAGGAAGAACTCTGATGTCGGCTTGTTTCTTTTTAATTCTTCATGGTCAGGCATTTTGGAGCTAATCACCTGGTTTATCTTCAGACATATTTACTATACAGTATGTGAACTTCAGCGGGGTCAGTATTGGTTCTGTTAACTATGAGCCTGCTACTCAGCTGTGATGACTAAGCTAGCAGTAGGTATCAAGTTCTAGAAATACTGAGAAAATTCCATAAAAAGGAATGGAAGCTTCTATGCTAAGTGGATTAGGCAGTCTGTGTAGCACTATCTATCCTCTCTTTTTTTTTTTTTAAGAGAGGTAAAATCAAAATACTCCTACAGCCCTGAGTGAAACTTCTCTTAGCATCAGGTCACTTTTCCATAGGGAACAAGCATAAACAGTACTATGTATTGTTTGTATACCTATTTTCCCCATAAAATTCTCACCTAAGGTGACAAGCTGGCTATGGCTCTGGCATCACTTGCTGAAAAATCTGAAAATGGCCTAGGTCCACTTCCATGGCTAATGTGACTTGCTTGTTGTGCTCGTGTACCCAGCAGGGGGGTCTGCTTAAGCCTTTCGGTAGGTTTGTTCTGAACTGCACATTAGAAGTTTGAATGGGAGTCTGCAGCAGACAAGAAAGAAGATGAAGTGGAGCTGCACTACAGTATCTCAAAACTGAGATAACTAAGTGGATACATTAGCTAAATGGTCTTTATCGTGGAATGTCCTATTCGAGTTACATGCTATTGTTGGAAGTAATTTGCAATTGAAAGTCTTTATAGCAGCATTTGGACAAAGCAGTATCTTTAGAGCTGTATTACTGGAGACAAACAATGTTGCAGCCTTCTGCCCTGCAGGCTGTAGAACTGTTGGACGCTTCATTTGGGAAGTGTTTCTTCCCCCCACCCCCCCTTCAAAATGAGTCTGGCTTTATCTCCTTCAGGATAGGCATGTCACTAGAAGGGAAAACTTTTGCTTTTAAAAGGGAATTGCCAGATTTGAAATGGATGTTTGCTTCTTTGTGAAACAGTGCATTTTAACTGTTGTACCTTGATGTAATGTTATAAAGCAGATTCCATAAACTCTTAGCTGCAGTTTTTCGTCATACTAAGATCAGACTGCAGTTACACGAGAGCGCTGTGGTATACTTTATCTCATAAAAGAGACAGGGACGTTTAATCAATTAACTAATGGCTTTGATCAAATAACATTCCACATGAGCTGGAATGCTCAGAGTACAGTTGGCTGCCTCTTGCAGCCTGGTCTCTGATGTTTGCCAGTTACTGTATCGTGGAGAAGATGAACAGTCGTGCAATGTTTCCTGGGTGCTGTCATTGCCGTAGGAAAGTTTTTTCCCTGAATGTGAAGTTTACCTTTTTTGTGGGGAGCGGATAGCCTGTTGGAGGGTATCTTGAGTATTGAAATTCATCTGTAATACGAATTTTGTTTCATTAAAATGTAAGGTTGTGTTTAAGTTAACATATGTAAGTGTTACTGTGTCACTGAAGCAGTTCTGGTGCTGGCAGTAAAGATATAAAATGGGAAAAGCTTAGTTTAGTCCTCAAAAGTAATCTATTTTTTATATTTGTATCAAACTGCCAAAGAATACTTCTAATAGCTGAGCTCCCCTCAGTCCTCAAACTTCTGCATATCTCAACTAAAAAGACTTGTTTTATACTGGATACAGATCTCGAGGTCTAGGATTTGTCTATGGAGGGATGCTTAATGAAACTAAAATGATTAGTTCAGCTGCATTTGATTCAACTTAATCAAATCTCTTCTGATGGCTAGTTTAATTGTGAATTAAGTGTTCCTCCTGGAATTAATGTAGTTGAACTAATCCACATATCACTTAGTTGGGATTATTTTACTGTCCCTGTGTGGGCAATCTTCAGTGAGCTGTGCCAAACGCACTGTGCATATCCACAACTTGATCTCTGAATGTATGTCGCTGCAGTTAGCGCCTTTCCCCGACTTGTTCTGCGTGAAGGTCTGTGGTATAGCTGTAGTCTCTGGGTACCTGTACATAATGTGTAAAACAAGTTTTTATGACTAGGGAATCAATTTATTGAACTTTATTATTGAAAGTTAAATCTGAATCTGTAAAACAAGAAATAAATAAAAGACTATAATCTTTCTACAGGCTATGGTGATACGTGAATACTTCTGCAGGTTTGACTGGGGAGATGTAGCCTTATTCATACTGCTACGTCGCTCTGGGAAAGTAGAGAACTTCAAACGGCACGCTCCTTTGCGCTCCTCTTAAATTGCTTCCTGTATTGGGAGAACCGGGCCAATTTTTGTATCTACCGCTTCCAACTTCTTAGAAGCTCTTACAAAAGCTTTTATAGTAAAGCATTTACCATAGAAATACCTCTTCGATAGTCCTGGGAACTTGCTAAACTTGTTCCTGGCTACTGAAAAGCTTGCTTCCTCTCCCTGCTGCTGAGTCAGTCCTGAACCATGAGACCATGAGCTGGCCTGGGCCTCCTGCCAGCTCTGTGGTTTGGAACAGGAGGACGTGAGGGTGTGGTGTGGAAGAAACCTCCACATCTGAGTGATGCCTGGGTGCTGAGCATGACCTATTTTGACTGGGGAAGCTAGTGTTCAGGCAAGGTCTGAAAAAGCGGTGGGGGTCGTGGTGGGTAACAGGCTGACCATGAGCCAGCAGTCTCCCAGGAAGAGTGTTGCTAGCAGGTCAAGGGAGGTGACCTTTTCTACTCGGATCTGGAGTGCTGGGTCCAGTTCTGGGCTTCCTTGGTACAAGAGAGACAGGGACTTACCGGAGCTAGTCCAGCAAAAGGCTGAGATGATGATTAAGGAATGGAGCATCTGTTGTACAAGGAGAGGCTGAGAGCAGGGACTGCTCAGCCTGGAGAAGAGAAGGCTCAGGAGGGATCTTACCAATCCATGTAAATATCGATGGAGGGGGAGTAAAACCAGCCAGACTTCTCAGTGGTGCTTAGTGGCAGATTGAGAGGCGATGGGCACAAATTGAAATACAGGAGAATCCATTTAAACGTCAGAAAAGCCTTTTCTGGTGAGAGTGGTCAAACAGTGGAGCAGGTTGCCCAGAAAGGTGGTGGAGTCTCCTTCAAAACCTGACTGGACACACGGGGGGTGGGGTGGGTGTTGGACTAGTTCATCTCCGGAGGTGCCTTCCAAGCTCAGCTGTGCTGTGAAATGGAAAACTCAAGAGGTAGACGAGTTATTTTCCAGAGAAGGGGGGTTACGGCAAATAGTCTGCTGTGGCCGGGGTTCAGCGTATGGCACTTCCATGCTCACTTTAACTGGAGGGAATATACTTACATATATACTTTAATCTGGAGGGAAGCGATAGGCAGTGGAGCCCTTTTGCGACTGGTTGGCATGCTCCACTCACAACAGTGAAAGAGCATGCTGGACACAGGCAGTGGCGAGTTTTCAGTAAGCTTGCAAATTAACACTTGGGTCTCAAAAATCCCAACTGTTGACAGAAAAACTGTATTCTTTGCTCAGTTATTTTGTGATAGAGATTTTTCTGTGTTGTCTGTTACCGCACCCTGCAGGTTTTTCTTCCTTTCTTCCTTCCTTCCCCAGTGCTGCTGGCACTCTGTTTCCTTAGACGTGCAAGCTCCTGGTAAGAAAACTGTCACATTATTGAAAGTAACTCTTTGGTATACCCTAGATGATGCCAAAAATTTGTTACCATGCAGTTCGGTGGACAGTGAGTGTAAAGGAACTTGTACAGCTTTTCACCAAATTGGCTTACACCTCGCTTCGCGCTTGTCAGCATTAAGCTGGCTCTTGAAAAGCTGTTTGGGTGTGTCTGGTGCATTTTGAGTTACTACTTGCGCAGATGCAACCTGCCTGTAAAGGTTAACAGCAGTTTCCAAACTGGAGCTGGCTCTAGAGCAGCATTAGTATGGTGCTGCTGGGCTCTCCTACCTCAGCCGGTTTTTAATAGAGTCAGCGAAGGTGGCTTGCTGCAGTTAATCTGTAACTTCGATGCCAAAGAATATTAGAGCTGCCTGTGTGGTGGAAAATTCATCTTCACTTGCCCCAGCGTAAGTGAGAGCCCCCACTCGCAGTAACTACTACTCTTTTAACAAATGATTCAAGTTTCTGCATCTTTCCTCTTCTTTTTCCCCTTCCAGTGGTGCACGGTAGTTGATGTCTAGTAAAGGAACTAGATGAGATTCTCAAATAGTCGCTTTGCAGCAGGGAATTTGGGGACGAGGCCAATAACACAGCTGTTACGGGAAATAGGCCTACAAAGCAGTTCTTGAAATTATAGTGATTTTTAGGACTTCTTGTTATGAACACGCATTGAGCAGCTGTACAGCATAGCATGCTTGCTGCATTGAGTGAAGACTGGTAAGCAAGTAGAATGGAAAGGCTATTCTTTTTAGAGGAAAGTATATTCTTGCACACTTGCATCTGTAAGTGCTTTCTAAAGTCCTTCACAAAAATCGCGAGAAAAAATAACCTGCTGGTTGGATTTCCTGTGTGTTTCATGAATTCAGCTTGTGTGTGAAATCATAACTGCCCTGAACAGCCCCAAGCGTTGTACAAAATAAGGACGTTTTTAAGCATAGATTGAACATTTTTTGTCTTTACAGTTGAATTAATGTTGCACTATTAACCATGTTTATTCATTGGCACTGAAAGGGAGGTACACCTATAAAAACCGAAGGCTAAGTGCAGATGGTTTTAGCCCCTGTCTGCTGATCCCGATGTACCAGCTGCCTTGCATGTAGGCTTTGCCCCGCGCTGCCAGCCGGGGCTGTGCCGCCCAGCCAGCACCTTTGGCAGGAGGAGCACTGG